GATGAACTTTACATGTGACTCCGTCTAGAATTCTTAGTCACAAAAATAGTTCTATAATCCAATACTACTACCGAATACTCAATTACAAAGATGTTCATCTTGATGGGAGGGCATAGCTCAGTGCTAGAGCGTGTGCATAGCATGCATAAGGTCCTGGGTTCAATCCCCAGTACCTCCAAAAATTAAAAAAAAAACAAACTTATCTCCCTACAAAAAAAGAAAAACAATAAATTTAAAAAGAGAATTCTTTGCCATAAAAAAAAGTTTATCTTGAAGTTACTTATAGTGGTGAAAAATATGGAAATAATTACAATAAAAATACAGATAAATAAAATAAAAATAAAAATTAGGTATTTCAATAATTCTTAATGGAACTGATAATGCTTAACATTAAGTAACATATGGAATATCTATATTGTTTAGAATATGTACACACATGCATAGGAAAAAAACTCTAAGAAAATGCTGGATATCAAAGTATTAACAGTGGATTTCTATACTAAAAGTGATTTCTATTTTATTTTTGGTTTTTCTAGAATTTCTACAGTGAGCATGTGTCATTTTCATAGTCAGAAAAATTTTAAATGAACATTACTATTATAAGGAATTTCTATCTAACGTTTGTTATGAGAATTAATTAAAATAATGTGACAAATATAATGCACTGTTTTTGTATTTTTAGTGTAAACATTGTTCCTGTCCTTAAAAAGGCTAAATATATTTGTAGTTTAAAAAAAAAGCTTCAGAGTTTTTGTTTTTGGTCCTTTGCAACACATGGGCTTCTTTCCTTTCTTTCGGCATTTATGTGAGGCCACTGAAAATCTGTTCTCCATCATGTTTATCACATTTTCACAAATCCTTGTTGGAAAAGCTAGTTGAAATCCTGGTGAATGCTAAGAAAATCTAATCCTCCTTCAACTAATTCTCCTGAGCTTAAAAAAGAAAAAAAAATTAACATGAGGCTGTGTAATCTAAAAAAAAACCTCTAGAGCAAAAGATTAAATTAGGAACTCTAATTCAGCTACCTAGCAAGACTGACACAGGATAGCTTTGCTTCTGTCACAGTGGAAACAAAGTGGGAAAAGAATAGAAAAACCTAAGCAGCTCATAATTAGCCAAAGCGACTGGATAAATTCAGCAAATTCTAAGTAAGTTTAAAATACACAGGGCCCTGGTCAAATTATCTAAAAAAAGCCACTTACTGTCTAAGGTTTGAAGTCAACACCTCCGAGTTGGCGCCAAAAGCTACTACCTGGCAATCCTATTTCTTTTTTAATCTTTAAAAAAAACTTTTTTTTTTTTTTAACCATTGAAGCAGCAAGGCTAGGGGAGCTTCTTTCATGTTGTAGTCGTGAATTCCAAGTGCTTCTGTTCAGAATTAAGTCACTTACCTCAGGGTTCCAGACAGTCTGGAACCCCCAAAGTAAGCCCTTCTCCCAGGGTAGCAGCTTGGAGTAGAGAAAAAAGACCTTGAAAACTCAAAAGCACCCTACAAATGTAAGGCCTCATTGTCCTTATTATCCTTCTTCACCAGCTATGGTTCAGTCTAGAGAAATTAACCTTCTCATTTGTTAACCTCAGTAACAGGCTTTAACAGATCTGTAGCCTTGGATGGCTCAGATAATTGCCCTAATTAGTTTGGTATGGAGGGAGGTAGGGTCAGGGGGTTTGGAGCTCAAGTAATTAAGCCTAAATTAAAAGAAAAAAATGGAAGAGTTTATGCCTTATGGATTTGACATATGAATTCCAGATGTTATGGAAGAAATTTTACTGCTAAGGCTTTTAGGCTACTTAAAAAAATTTTTTTTCTTGAAATATAGTTCATTTACAATATTGTGTTAGTTTCAGGTATACAGCATGGTGATTCAGTTATACATATACTTATATATTTCCATTTCATTATAGGTTATTACAAGATATTCGCTATAGTTCCCTGTGCTATGCAGTAGGTCCTTGTTGTCTATTTTATATATAGTAGTGTGTATCTGTTAATCTCAAACTCCTAATTTATCCCTTCTATGCCTTTCCACTTTGGTAACCATAGTTTGTTTTCTATATCTGTGAGTCTATATCTGGTTTGTAAATACATTCATTTGTATCATTTTTTTCTTAGATTCCACATATAAGTGATATCATATGATATTTGTCTTTCTCTGTCTGACTTACTTCACTTAATATGATAATCTCTAGGTCCATTCATGTTGCTGCAAAAAGCATTATTTCATTCTTTTCATGGCTGAGTAGTATTCCATTGTATAAATACCACATCTTCCTTATCCAGCCATCTGTCAGTGACATTTAGGTTGCTTCCATGTCTTGGCTATTGTAAATAGTGCTGCTGTGAACATTGGGGTGCATGTATCTTTTCAAATTAGAGTTTTCTCCAGATATATGCTCAGGAGTGGTTTTGCTGGATCATATGGTAACTCTATTTTTAGTTTTTTAAGGAACCTCCATACTGTTTTCCATACTGGCTGCACCAATTTACATTCCCATCAACAGTGTAGGAGGGTTCCTTTTTCTCCATACCCTCTCCAGCATTTATTATTTGTAGACTTTTAAATGATGTCCATTCTGACTGGTGTGAGGTGATACCTCACAGTAGTTTTAATTTGTATTCTCTAATAATTAGCAATGTTGAGTATCTTTTCATGGGCCTGTTGGCCATCTGTATGTCTTTTTTGGAAAAATGTCTACTTAGGTCTTCTGCCCATTTTTTGACTGGGTTGTTTGTTTTTTTGTTATTGAGTTGTATGAGCTGTTTGTATGTTTTGGAAATTAAGCCCTGTCAGTTGCAAGTATTTTCTCTTGTTTTGTAGGTTGTCTTTTCATTTTGTTTATGGTCCTTTGCTGTGCAAAAGCTTATTTTATTGGGTCCCATTTGTTTATTTTTGCTTTTATTTCTGTTGCCTTGGGAGACTGCCTTTAGGCCACTGTTTGTAGTTAAGGAGAGGATTGGAGTGAAAGCTCTGAAGGCAGATCGTGGTAGGAGAGGAAGGTTCCACTGACTCTGTGTGTGTGTGTGTGTGCGTGCGTGTGTATCTCTCTCCAAATTGAAAACTAGCAAAAACTAGCAACAGGGTCTTAAAATCCCCCTGGGGCATGAGTTATTTCTAGTTGGCTTGCTTATAGCTTTGCTGGCGGACAAGTCCACCTCCTTAGTTGGAAGTGATTATTTTGTTATTTCACTGCAGTTTCTCTCAGAAATTCTAAATTTGAAGCATTAACGCAAACTCCACAGTCAGCTGGGGAAGGTGGCTAGAATTTTGGTCCCATTTAGAAACAGAGACAGGTGATTACGCCAGGAATAGAGCTGCATTTTTACTTCAATGATATGCACCAAATCCTCTGTTTCTTCTCCTTTTTTAGAAGATGGTAAACACAGGGAAAGGAACAGGAGCTCCAGACCCTGGGTACCAAAATGTTACAGACACACAGGAAATGACTTCAAACCAGCCTGTAAACCTCTCATTTCGTGGGCTCGCCTGTGAGCCTAGAAAAGAGGAGAGATCACAGAGGAGACATTGCTACATTCTGGGACGCCTGTTACCAGAGGACCTCCGGAGGCCTTCCCACGCCCTCGTGCTGTGCCTCTAAACTCAAGCCATAATTTGAAATGCTAGAGAAAAGCCAATGAAATTTGAGGCAGATTTTTGTGGCTTAGAGCTATCTCGCTTTACTTTAAAAAAGTAGACTTTGAAAAACAAGTGAAAAGCTAAATATCTGTTTGGAGGGAGCAGTGTATATTCTCAACCCTCTTACGTTAAGGCTTTCGTTTAAAAATACTCCAAGTATGTGACAGATAAGCTCTAAATCATTGAACTATACATTAACCTTGCTAAAACACTTATGTACTGGCTTTCCTTTTATATTAATCTAATCCATCTGAAAGATGTTTCTGGTGTATTAAACAAATACTGTGCCTCTGGTTAGTGAGCTGGTTTTGGGTTCATGAACTCTCCACGTATTTGTATTTTGAGTGCCTTCTCGGGGTAAGACATTCTTAAATTAAACACACAGGGATTGATAAATCAATCTATTGACTCCAGTGCAGATAGGAAGGGGAGTGGAGCCAGAATGCCTGCCTGTCTCAGCTCTCCCATCTCGAGCAAATCCCTTAGCCTCTGTCTGTTTTCTTCCCTGAAACAGAACTAGTAATAGCACCTACCTCATCAGATTAAATGAGTTAATACACGTAAAGCACCGAGAACAATGCCTGGCGCATAGTAAGTACTCCATACATGCTGGCTATTCGTTTAGTACTGAGCATGGGGAAAAGCAACGTACAGGTGCGGATACAGAGATAAACAGAACAAGGCACATAAAGGGGGGACTATTTACTGGATCTTGGATGGAAAGAGGAGGGTTCATTAAGTGGACAGAGAAGGGCCAGGCCAAGCAAATGCTGTAAGCCAAGGCACAGAATGATGAAATGCATAGTATATCTGGGAAATTATAAATGATTCTTTAGAGCTGGATTAAGAAGTGTGTCAGAATGAGGGGAGAGAACCCTCAGGATTTACTGACCAAACCCGTGTGACGGGAAGTGAGGCAGAGGGCAGATTTGTGGGCTGACAGTGAAGCCATTAACCAGAAACGAATGATAGGAGGCAGTGTGGGATTTGACTCCACGTGTTTGGTTTTGGACATAACAATATGTGAGGGGGCTTTGAGACCCAAGCAGGAATGTGCAACTGGAGGCACAAGTCCGGGGCTTTACAAGAGCATCCTGGTGAGCATACGGTGTGTGGAGAACCATCAGAGTGTTACTGATTGCAGTAGCCATGAATTTGACTGACGTCGTCAAGAGCCAGTGTAGAGAATGAGAAAAACGTAGGGGACACTGGCATTTGAAGGTGGGTGGAAGAGGAGCCAGAGAGAAGAAACAGAGAAGAGAACCAGGAGAGTGTGGGGCCCTGGAAGAAACCAAAGGAGTACAAAGAGTTTCACATCAATTAGGACGTTTTTGATTGAAAATGACACAAAACTTAAACTCAAACTGGTTTAAATTCTCAAGATTTATTGGTCCATATAACTGAAAACACAAGCCTTTAGAAATCACCCTTAAGCCGAGGGTGAGGAATTCAGCTTACCATCAACACTTAGCAATTATATTGAGTGCCCACTATGTGCTGTGCTCTGTTCTAGTCAACAAACAACAGAGGCAAAATTCCCCCTCTGCAGACTGTACATACAAGGTCTCTTGCTCTCTCTCTCTTGCATTAAAATACAAACGCAGTGCCTCACATTGGGAGAGTATGTGGAAGGAAGTGAAGAAAACTTTAGAATTTAACACAAAGTCCAAAACATTTGCTGGGTGTGTAACACCTTTATGTAGGAATGTCTGCAACTTCTGTACTAAGAGATAATGGAGGGATGAAAGCAATTCATCATGGATACAAAACTCTAAAATCCCAAATACCACCAATGATACATTTTAAAGTTAGTTAAGTCCAAAGTTGCTGAGTTCATTCAGATACTTATAAAAATAATTACATTTGCAAATAGCTAGGGCTTTGTATCTATCGGAATTGTAACACAGGTCATGTCTAAACCTGCACTGCGACATTCATGTATTAATTAAAAGTATACAGTTCGTAATAAAAGGAAAACTCACTCAGCCATTATATTCAACTAAACACTATCAGTTTCCAAATCCGTGTCTCTTCTCCAATGCCTTAATTCACACAGACATTTATTTGGACAACAGCAACCAGTCTTTCTGACTCGATTTGTACCCGACATATCCACCCCCCCCCCACGACTACCAATGTGATTTTGCCAAAATGAAGATGAGACCTCTGTTGTCATCATAATGCCTTGCGTCCAGCAGGCACTCTGTCAATTCAGCATGGAATGGGATGCAGTCTAGCCTGACTCTGAAGCTAACTCAGCCCATCGTGAGTGTATTGCTGCATCTCATGGGTGTATTTTCCATTCTTTAATTTGAAAATGATGAAACCTACCCACTTTGGTTTCTGGCAAATAAAATACTACTTATGATTGAACTTTGTTAACTCAAAAGCACTACACAGCATTAAGGGTTAAGATTAGAAGTCGAAATAATATTAGTATTTTAATGGCTAAAAAGCAGCATACATTTTCTCAGTCATGTTCTTTGATTCCAGTTAAAGTTTTCTATAAAACTCTATAAGCTATTAATATTTTGAATTTTAAAATATGGCCCACAAATGCTTAGTTCCTTTCTCAGATTTTACCCTTGCACAAAAGAAAATCCTTCATGCCTGCTGTGATTTAAGTTCCTTTTCTTAAAGATGAGGAAACAAATTATCAAATGACTTGATTCTCTAAAAAGGAAGCAACTTGGCTAGACGATTTTCCTTATCAACATAGATTTTTATAAGATTCTCCACTGGGTTTTCACTAGCTGAACCAAACAGCTCCTTACCTATAGTACCACTTAAAATACGTCCCCAAGACATCTCTGAAGGGGAAAAAAAATCCATTTTCTAATGTGGTGATGGATGTAGAGAATGACATGGAAATCCATTTTCCGGCCAGGGATATTTCTGCAGAAGGTGAAGCAACAGCAACCCATTAGCAAGTTCATTTCCCCTTCTGTTATGTGGCCGTATTTTAAAAAGAAACCCAAGTTACAAACGGCCAAGTCAGACTGCCCTCAAAATTCAACCTCCTTCTTCCTGAATTCTGTTCCCCCTCCTGACTCAAAGCTGGCCTGACCTGCACTAGCATGAGCGCGCACCTCCCACGGCTGCTTCGTACTCTCACAAGTGTAGTCACTACCTGACCTGTCTGTATCGGAACATCCCCTCCCTCCAAGAAGCCGTGGCTCCTCCCTCCCCCATTCTGTTACTTCCAGAAAGGAGGTGCAAAGCACCACTAGGGACTGACATAGTGAGTTTTTTTTGTCAGAAACTGATTGATATAAATTAGGAGTTGAACCAATGGGTAGTAACAAGGGGTTAAAAAGATTTTCAGACAGTGGCTTGCTGGGCTTTTTTTTTTTAATTGAGGTTTGTGTTCATGTTAGTTTTTTTAATCTTGTAATATTTCAGTAACTTCTGAGTAATGTGTTCCGCCACTACATGCATCCAGATATAGGTTTCTCCAGGAAATGGGAGAATCACAACTGCGTAATTCCATTTGTCTGTCACACTGGACTCAGGCTTTACCAGTTGATGCCACTACCTATGATATGTACGATAAACAAATTTTTAGTAGAAGTATGTCCCAAATACTGCACATACTAAAACATTTGTTGTTTATCTAAAATCCAAATGTTAACTAGGGGTCTCACATTTTTATTTGCTACACCTGGCAACTCTTCATTGAAGACCCTTATCTTTGGTAAGCTTACTATTTAAGAGGGAAATTAATGAATAATCAGAACACAAGGCATATCTGATAAGTGCAGTAATACAATCGGGGAGGCGCTCTCCACTGGTACCACAGAAGAGGACCTGGAAGAGATGGCAACTGGAGTTCCTAGAAGATGACTAAATTCCAATGGGCAGATAGGTGGTTTAGTGTGATATTTTTGTAGCTCAAGTGTCCTGAGTTAATAAACACCAAATCCATTGCTCAGTAGCTGTGTAACCTTGGATAAATTAATCTCTATTATAAAATGAGGCTAACAACATCTGCCTTATTTGGCTGAGCATCAGAGAGAACATACGCACAAAGCACCTGGAACACAGGAGGCACTTCCTAAATGGTGATATGTACTATTAGAATGTCACACGGCAAAGAGGGTATTTGTCACAAACATTCAAATGTTAATGTTATGCAGTAATAGTAATATTGGTACTTTTATTTCATGATCTATTTACACTGTACAAACACTGTTGAAAAGCATCCTACAAGTTCACAGTACATTACAATATATTTAACTTTAAAAATATATTCCTTTATAAAAGGTTCATAGAACAATGGCATGTCAACATGGGACAAACTCTCAAAGCATGTCACCAATTCTGTGATAGCAAGAATGCTTCCAAGTGTTGTCAATTTCACAATCAAAAGTCACTATTTAAGTTTTAAATACACGTAAGTTTTAAATAAAAAATGAATTCTACAGTGGAAAGTTGCTGCAGCAACACTCATTAGTTAATTAACATGTACTTTCATGGAGATGTTGTCTCATGATAATTTACAATATCAACTTAATCTGCGGAGAAAAACCATTTCAACAAGTTTCACAGTCCAAAACTTCTTGCCATTTGTTTTCTACTTTTTCTTCTTTGTTGGCTCTCCTGGTTCTACTTTGCGCTTTTTAGAAGCATGCTCGTCTTTTTCATCATCTTTAAACAGGAAAGGAAGAGTTTCAATCAGTAATTTTAAAAAAATGTTAAGCATTAAAATTTCATTGACTCTATATACCAAAATCATCATTCTCAATTAATGTTTCATTCAAAGGTTCCCAACAAAAGACAAAAATTATCTTTTAGAACTTTGATTTTAAATTGCAAGTAAAAATAAGGAATTTTTTCAATTGTAGTGTTATACAAAATTCACAAAGTGATCCTTTAGTGCTATAATATTAAGGCAGCTTAAAATGAGAAGATCAGATTTGTTCTGATAAAGCTATTCCCAAATGTTCTACAGTACACATTGTAGATATTTAAATAGATAATCTACACTTTAAGAATGGGGCATATTCTATTTTTACCAAAAAACATCAATTTAGCCATGGCATCATCTAAGGGGCTACCAGCTGGTCTTTCCCTGCCAATCTGCTCTCCCCCGCCACAAACAGCTCCCCTCCGTATCTCACCCTCCCACCCCAGCCCTTACATTTTGAAGTCAGAAAGCACTCACAGGCAGATGTTTCACTGAAACTGCATTTTCAGGTTTGTCCTATGCAGGTAGTTCTACTTTCTCCCCCATTCCTAGGAGGGTCAGAATACTCCGAAGGCAACAGACAGACAGACATCTTATCCCCTTCATATTATGGAGGATTGGGGGAGGTGGATGTGGAGAGGGTATCTCAAATTAAAACCATGTCCTTTACACTTTCCCAAAATGTTATTAGTATCTGTAGCCACAGAAATTTTCCCATTAATAAGTAAAAATATTGTCAAACCTAAAACAGTGGGCCCTTTTATTCAATTAAAACAATCCAACTATGTTTCAATAAAATACAGGGTAGCACAGACCAGATGCTAATTTCCCTACCATGAACAAATGCGTGGCATTATTTTAAGAACTCCATATAGATGGAATAAAAAACATGTAGAAAATGTTATGGTTTATAAAATACAAATTAATTTTAAGTACATTACTGAATTCATTGTACTTTTGACTATCTTCTCAACAGATACTTGAAGTTCAGTAACTATCATGTAGTAGCTTATAAAATATTCTGATGTTGAAAGGGGACTTCATATTAAAAAAAACCTGGGAACCCACTGGTATCAGAGCATAAACCTTTTTTTTTTGCATTTCAACTTCCATTGTATTATTAACAGTCAAGCGAACAAGCAATGCCAATTTTACTATTATTACTGAACACTTCACATTTACAAAAGGGCTTTACAGTCATTTTTACATGTCATTTCTCAATATTTTTCTGAGAGACTGGGGAGCTCTGTCACTATTCTTTTTTTTAATTGGATTATAATTGACACCCAATGTTAGTTTCAGGTGTATAAAACAGTGGTTCAATATTTTTATACATTATGAAATGATAGCCATAATAAGTCTGTGACCTACAGCGTTATTACAATATTATTGACTATATTCTCTATGCTGTATATTACATCCCTGGGACTTACTTACTTTACAGCTGGAATTTTGTACCTCTTAATCCTCTTCACCAATTTTGCCTGTCCCCCACCTCCTTTCTCTCTGGCAACCGCCAGTTTGTTCTCTGCATCCATGAGTCTGTTTTTGGTTTGTTCATTTGTTTTGTTTTCAAATCACAAACTCACTATGGGAAAAATATACTTAAAATCTTAAGCCTTCAGTTCCCTTCTGCTAACTATACCATACTCGGAATTTATTTCCTTTGTTGATCTGGACAATAATAAGTACCAACAGCAGGTGATGCATCTTCAAACACAGCATGGTGATCTTATTCTTGTATTTCATAGAGCACGATAGATTTATGTAGGCAGTAAGAGAAAATACAATTCAGATCAACAAATCATCCCAGGAATTTACAAACCAAAGTTTTAATCAGTAGTTTATCATGTATATACAAAAATACTTGCTCTAAAAGCCAACTGATTTAGCACACAATTTAAACAAGCCAAGGTCTTTGCTTTTGAATTAGAGTTTAATCAACATTTTGCTTGACTTTTGAGATTATTTTCAGTAGTAATATTAAAAACTGAAATTACTTGCTAACTCTACTAGAAAATGCACTGTTAACATATATTAAAAAGACAGTCCTGAGACACTTCTGCTTTTAATCTGCCACTTACTATCCTACTGAATACAGCAAACTCAAACTACTGAGCTTATTAAAATAACTTGCTATCAGTAACTTAACAGAGCTAATGCCATCTAGTGATATAATACGGCACTGCCTTTAAAAAAAAAAAACCCTGAAACGTTCATCAACTACTGAGTTTCTACTTTATGCCATATATTACAGATGCACTAGTAATGAAATAATTTTTCTATTATGAAATTCATGTCACTTGAGGTAGGTAAACAAGTTTAAATTATTAACAAAAACTAACTTTCTAAATTATTTTTTTTAATTAAAAAAACTTCTTTAATGGAGGGAAGTAATTAGGTTTATTTATTTAGTAGAGGTACTGGGAATTGAACCCAGGACCTCATGCATGCTAGGCGTGCATTCTACCACTGAGCTATACCCTCCCCCTGTAAATTCTTTAAATAAAAAAGCATTAGCTACTTTAACCAGGCTTTCAAGATTATTATATGTTAATTAAGCTACAATAAATATCTAAGCCTTACTGATCTACATTTTTATAGCCATTTGAATCTTTCCCACCTTCTTTTATCTGGAAGAAGTTAACTGGCAAAAAAAGGATGAAGGGCAGAGAATGAGAAGGAAAAGTGGAAACAAAGTAATTTGATAATCTAAAAATCAGATAATTTAAGAGTGTGGAGTTTCTAATACAAGATATTTTGTGAATAAAAAAATAGAGGTTAAAAAAATGGTACGGGAATTTGAAATGGCAAAAATCACTTCTAAAAGAGAAGGCATTTATTACAAAAAGAAAATATTATATTCAATAACCAACATTAAAGTCAAAATTGAAGATTTCAGTGTTATCTTTTAATCTCATGATACAGCTTTAAGCTGGCTGAGTGCTGGGGTCCTTTGTTTTTTGATATTGCCAACATCCACTTTCTAATGGAGGACCGTCACATGAGCAAAAGGTCAGAAATTAACTGTGGGAACAGCAGCATTATTTGCCACATATTTCCTTCTATCTGAACTCAGCAGGCAAACTGGAAAAAAAGGTAATTCTTTCCACTTGTTTGTGCTGGTATATAACCCTCGCTTTTCTGTATAAGAGCAAAGACAGGAGAGCACCAGCCTGTGGCACTGACACCCAAGACCGAACATCAACTCGAGCGGCCTAACTGCCATTCTTCCTACAAAACAGCTATTTCTCAAGCTGGAAACTGTCAAGAGACTAAAGTCCAGTTTAATAAGGCATCATTTCCAGTTAAAGACCTGAATTTGCATCCCTATTCTGCCTCTTCCTAGCTGTGTGAATTTGGGCAAATTTTTTAATCTGAGATTGTCTTCCTGTCTATAAAGTAGTAATAACGAATCATGTACCACTTGTGCACTAGGGTTCTAAGAGTAACAAATTAGGAAATTTGTGTGAAGGTTCTATCTTAGAGCTTGGCATTTTCTAGCCTTGTGACCTTGGACAAATCACATAAGCTCTCACTTCCACATTTCCCTATCCGGTTTCGCAAGGTGTTTTAAGACTTGATGGTAATTTATGCAAAAGTTTTTTATTAATTATATAAAATACCTCACAATATGAGGTATTTTAAATGTCCACTTCATTTGGCATCTCCAAAAAAGATGCCATTTACTGAAGATGTGCCTTCATCAGTGACTTCTAATCCACACTAGGAAGTCAGTGAAAGAAATGGAAAAGCCAGGTAGAATCAAAACTGGAACTTCTACTAGTTTGTTACCCTTTCTTCTGAAACAAACAAAACTCTTCATTGTTGCAAAAGAAGCTAAGTAAGTAGCAGCTGGATTATGGGAAAATCAGAAATTTGTTTAACAAGAATGACACACTTTTTCAGAAAATGGTAGTCTAAAATATTTCATCCAATTCAATAATAATCCACTGAATACTTACACCTGGACCCTGCTGTTTAAGAAACTCATTTTTTGTTAAAAAAAAAAAGACAGGAACAAATGATCACATGAAAGGTGGTTAAGTACAATCAACAGCATTAGCACACACATGGTTCAGAGGAGCAGATAACCAGAAGAAGGTAATATCTTAGTCTTTTTCTTATAGCTGGATTTTGAAGGATAAGCTCATTAGCTCAAGAGGGAGGGAACAACATTCCAGAGTAAGGTGCAACATATACTGAAAAGCATGGAACAATAAAACAGCACGGTCTATTCAGTTTTGAATTTAAGATCTCAAAGTGCTAGAAAGCGGGCCATTCCAAATGAGGGTGGGGAAAAAAGCCTATCACAGGAGGCTTTGATTCTATGTTGCTAGTAAAGGGTTTTCAGCAAGTGAGTTACACAATCAGGAATGAATTTTAGCAAGTGAACACTAGCTGCAGTGTGTAAGATGGAATAGGGCAGGGGTAAAAGCACAGAAGCGGAGTTACAGTCCAAGCAGAGGATGGAATTACGATATTATGAACTAAGGCAAGGCAACTAAGTCATTTTCTGATTATTACTTTTTTTTTAAGGAAATTATCTCCTCTTTCTTGCCACATTCATATGAAAAAGTCTGATATATCTGGGCGGGCAGAAGAAATCTTGTTACCATTTTTAATTACTAAGTAGTAATACTCAGTTAACTTCATTTTGTTACATCAATTTTGGCGCTAAAGCACAACTGCTTTAACGTAAAACGAAGCCTTCAGCACTTCACAACTGCAGTCACGACAAAGAATCCATGACTGAACTCATGCTGCTGTAACAACGAAGCACCCTAAGTCACGTATTCTACCAGCTGAGATAGCAAAGATTTCACTTCAAAGTTGAATATATACGATCATTCTCATAAACACAGCAAAAAGGATCCAAAGACCATCATTATCAGTTTGCTAACTCTCTAGATTTAAATTTCATTAATTAAATATCTCATTCTTTTTCATCACAGGGACCAAAAGGTATTACTACTGGAGTCTGACTCTCCTTACCTGATTCCACCGTCTCCTCCCCTTCTGGCAGAAGCCTAGCTTTCTTAGCATTCTGTGGGGCATCATCTCCGTTGTCTTCATATATGTTAGACCATTTTATTGCCATATCCAGCTCTGGAGGGGGAGGTTTCTTCTCAGTAGAGTAGGTCTCCGGAGGTGGTACATAGTTTGACTTCCATATTTTGAATTCCTTTGGAGGCTGTTAAGCAAACACATTAAGAAGCACTGTGACGAACCGAGGTTCCTGTAATCGGTATGGGCACATGCACCTCCCTGCCGTTCGCTTATTGTTCAGGCTGCTTTTTTTTTAAGGTTTAAAGGCACATTTTTCCATCAAAATCACAATACTGTTACGTGAAAAGCCAAAGGGTTCCCTATATGAATAAAGCTAATAACTTTTAGTTACCAAAGAAGAATCCAGTCTCAGAGATACTACGCCAAGGCTGACCCCTTCAGGAGGCTGCAGTAGACACTGTCTTGGAGGCAGCACCGCAGGCACTTCGGCGTCAAAGGGAAGGGGTCTCGGGGAGAAGCTGCAGCGGGGGGGGCGGGGGAGTCACCACCGTTAGTCCTCGCCGCGCGGGGTCGGGGCACCGAGCGCGGAGGTTGGGTCTCCGCACAAGGGGGCGGGGGCTGCGGGTCCGGTCTGACACCCACCAGGCTGGGGAAGGGGGCCCGGGCTCCCCAGGGCTGGAGTGGGAGAGGGCGGTGCGGCATCCCGCAGAGGGTGACTGCGTGTGGGGGGCCGGACAGTCGGTCCCCAGGAGGGGCTCAGGAAGAAGGGGGCGGAGGCCGGGACCACGACCGGGAAACGGGGTGCGGGGCCTCACCTCCTCCGGCGCCTTGACGACGTGCCTCTCCCAGTCTATCTGCTTGTTGAGCGGATTGTAGAGAAAGGCCGGGCGAGTCACGCTCCGGAACAGCTCGTCGGGTCCAGGCAGCCGCTTCTCCGCCTTGTTCCCACAGCCGCCCGCCGACTTCGCCGGATCTGGGGCCCCGCGACTCGTTTCCTCCGGCTCGCTGTTATCCTCCTCGTCAGACGAGCCTGAGCTACTGCTCCCGTAAGCCGCGAAGTAGCTCAGGGGGTCCTTCTCCTCCGCTGCCATGACGGCTGCGTGGGACGACCGAGGGCTCCGCCGGAAGCCGGAAGCCGTCCCAGGGCCCGCCCCTCAGTTGGCCCCGCCCAAGCTTGACTGACAGGCCCCGCGCCTGCGCCTCCTGGCGGCTGCGTCGCGCTCCTGCTCCCAGGCTGAGGCGCTAAGGCTGCAGACAGGGCCGCGCACATCCCCAAGCAGGGTCTTGTACTGCTCATTTCTGAGAAGCTCTGAGAAGAGACAGGTCCTGAGCCAGTGGTCCCAACCAAACTTTCAGCATTCAGTAAGAATTTATTAAAGGCACATAAGCGCTAGAAATGCTTTTTCACTGCCACCTTGCTTAGAGAGACCAGGATTTCTTCCTAACTCTGCTGCGTCTCTTCAAAATAAAAATTTCTCGGTGTGCTTCCCTCATTTGTTATGGAAGACCTCTATAGGTGGACTCATCGAGTCCCAGACTGAATCCTTTCCTGCTTGGCCTCATTTCACCGCACTCTGAACAGCCTCTTTGATGGAATTTCTCTTGGACTGCATCCCACCTCTCCAAGGCTCCTGGCTTATTGTCAGCCTCCTTCCATGCCTGCTTTGCTCTGTATGGCACTTCAACGTGGGTATTTCCCAACATACTAAACCATCATTCAGCAATACTTACTAACAATCTATAGATGGTGTTACACAAATTTGCAAGTCAGACAACCCTTTTCAGGGCATTAACTGTCTCAATGCTTGTGACTCAAATAGGGGTCTCCAACCGCAGTCTCTGGGCTCTTAAACTCTCCATATGGACATCGGGTTGGGGTGTCAAACACCTACTTATGGGTCAGTAACTTGTCTTTCCACGTAACTTGTTCCTGCATTTGTATTCCCTCCCTTAGTAAATGACACACCCATATGCTTTGCCACCAGGGAAACTAGAAATCTTTGACTCCTCCTGGTGAATTAAGAGGGAATGATACCAAAATGAAAGCAGTAAAGTTGGTATCAGTGTAAACATTCACAGACCCCATTTAAAGATGCCTGTAATTTCGTGAAACACAACTCCAGGAAGCATAGAATATGTCTATTTTATTCACTCCTCTTTCCCAGTCCTATAGCATGATGTCTGGGAGCTCTTTCAGGGGCGGAGTTGGATTGTGCTTTGTTCATGTTAATATTTCTAGTACCCAGCTCAGTGGGTGTCACTGAGTAGATGAACAATGTATATCATGGATTATCACAATTGAGAGTGTAGGTCTAGATACGTGTTTCTCAAAATTTTCCATTCAAGTACCTATGTTGATAGAGGACAATGATGGTCCCAAAGTACAAAGTTTGGGAGTCCCCAAAAGCATCTTCAGATTTGGTAATTTGCTCATAGAACTCACTAACAGCTCAGGATTATGGTTTATTGTAGCAAAAGGATGCAGATTAAAATCAGCCCAGGGAAGAGGTGCAGGGGGCAGAGTGTGGGCGGCTTCCACATGCAGAGTTGCCAGTTGTTTTCTCCCAGCGGAAGTGCAGACAGTAGTAACTTCTGGGGCAAAGGTATGTGACAACATGCTTGGAGCCAGTGGGGGAGGCCTTGGTCTCCAGTTTTCTCTGGAGACTGGTCATGTAGACATAGTTGATTCCTGTGGCTGACCTCAGGCTCCAGCCCCTCCAGAGGTCAGGTTGATACAGTGTGGTCCAAAGTCCTATGAGCATAACATTTTTTTTGGAATATAGTATAATATCTTGCAAATGTATGCAAATGTCATATACTTGTCCCTGGTATAGCTCTTTTAATTATACAAAAAATTTTAAATTACTTATCATTAAGTAAAACTGACACACTAAAAATAACTACATTTATCCTGTGGCTTTAAAACCTGGCCCACTGTTGAGCGCCTCCGGGACTGAGGTACCCAACTGGAGTAACACGAGTCCCTGTGATCAAAGTTGCCAACAGCTTTTGTGTGACTAAGTCCAACAACCACTTCTTGCTTGACCTTTAACAAGATAGGCCTTCCTTCTTGAAACGCTTTTTTCTCTTGCGTTTCAGTAGATCCCACACTTTAGTTCTCTCCCTCCTTCACGGGGTTCTTTCAGTTTCCCCTGGTGCCTCCTCCTCTGTCTCACCTCTAGATGTCAGAGCACCGTAGGCTCATACCTGGACCTTCCACTCTTTTCTATCACCCTCCATTTCAAGGTGATTTCAACAAGTCCTATATTTTTAAATACAATCTTATGCTAATAACTCCCACCAGTCCAGAATTCTTCCCTAAACAACAAACTCCAGTATCCAGTTTCCAACCTCAGTGTAGCAAGTCTCTCAAACTTGACATAATTGTGGCAGACGAGCTACCCAAACAGCTGCCAACAATTCCTGCCATCCCTGCGCACGCACGCTCCCACTTCTGTCAAGAGGTATTGTCTCCCTTTCTCTCTGAATCTGGCCTGGCCTCCTCACTTGCTTTGATGAATAGAATGCTTCCACTTTTGCTCTCTTGGGATCCCTGAGCCGCCATGTAAAGGGGTCCGGCTACCCGGCTAGAGATACCATGAAGAGATGAAGAACCCTGGCCAGCTCCCAGCTCAAGCATCCATGGCTGGTAGGACACCAGACATGTGAGTCCAGTCACCTGGAATCATCTAGCCCCAGCTGAGCCAGTGACCCTCGGACAGACCATCAGAACAACCAGGAAGCTAAGTCCAGCCCAATTGGCAGAATCATGAGATAAATGGTTGTTACTATTATTTTTTAAAATTTTTATTGAACTGTAGTTAATTTACAATGTTAGTTGTAAGTGATTGTTATTTTAAGCCACTAAATTTTGAGGTGTTGTGTCATGCAGCCAGGGACAACTGAAAACTATGTTCAAAACTGAGCTCTCCATCCCTTCCCCTATCACCCCACACTTCCCACGGTCTTCCCCATCTCTTTAAGTTGTACCATTATTAATCATGTGCTCAGGACAAAAGTCAGAAGGTCCTATCATTTCAAGTTTAAAATATATCCCAAATCCAAACTTTTTTTTTTTTAACCAATTCTACCTCTACTACCCTCATCTTTTGCCTGGACAATTGCAGGCATTTTTTTCTTTCTTTGTTGCATTTAGTGGTTATGTCTCTTAGTTTCCTTCAACTTGGAA